GGCTCTGCAGCTTACCTGGCTGCTTCTTGCTCTGAGGGCTGCTGGGAGCAGGGGGTGGGGCTTGTTGCATGTGCCTGCCCCCTGGGCTCTTTACTGCCAGAGCTCTTGAAGACATCTCAGAAATTACAACTGGTCCAGAATGTGGCAGCCCAGCCATAGTCAGGGGCCGGCCGCCAGGAGCATATGTTGCCCGTTTTGGAAGCAGTGTTGGCTGCCAGTCTGTTTCCAAGTTAAATTCAGAGTGCTGGTTATGACCTTTAAAGCCCTTCACGCCCACATATTTGAAGTGCCTTTTCCTTCCACGTGTCCTTGTGCACCAGCTGTGGTCATCAGGCAGCTCTCTGCTGGCTGTCCCACCACCTAGGGTGGCCTGTCTGGCCTCAGCCAGAGCCTGGGCCTTTTCCATTGTGGCACCGGCTCCGTGGAGTGGGCTCCACAGGTGTGTGTGTGGGGGGGTCCCCTTGGAGATCTTCAGGAGGCATTTGCGAGGCCTGCCTGGTGAGGGGGGTTGAACGGCAGGCATCTTTTAAAGGGGGGGAGGAGGAATTCGAGGCTTGGTGTTTGAAGTGGGGAGGTTTTAACGAGTATTGTCGGCCGCCTTGAACCTAGAGAAAAATGCAGGAGGGAAATGTTTAAATAAATAGATATTTTAAATTTAGCATATTGATATATTAAATTCCTTCTGCACATGAATCTCTGTGTTAAAACCTTGTTTCAACTCTTGTGTAAGAAGTCTGTGTCCCTTGCATCAAAGCTATTTATTTATTTGATTTTTTTTAGCCACCACTCACCTTCGAAGGGTCTCTTGGTGACTTCCAACATTAAAACCAGTAAAGGGGGGGGGAACCCCATAAACACAAATAACAAATATAAAATATTAACATTAGAATATTAAAATATGTGACTTTCGCCCTCCATCATTAACAACCTGAACAGGTGGGGTTACCCTCCAAAGGCCTCTCTTCCCTGATAGTGAAAGCTAGATAGTTAAAGGGACAGTTACATTATCCTCCTCCTTTTTTCCTTTGTGGAAGGCCAGTATTGGTTTTCATCGTCAGGCAATAACATTCACATCTGCAAAGGATAGCTGTAGTTCGGAAAGGCTTCCTTAACATACATGGTATTCAAGCATGCTGAAGGTGGAGTGAGTATGTGTGTGTTTGGTGTAGTTTGGTGCCAGTTTGGTGTAGTGGTTAAGTGCATGGACTCTAATCTGGGAGAACTGGGTTCGATTCCCCACTCCTCCACTTGCACCTGCTGGATGACCTTGGGCAAGCCATAGTTCTGGCACAGCTGTCCTTGAAAAAGAGCAGTTTCTGTCAGAGCTCTCACAGCCCCACCTACCTCCCAGGGTGTCTGTTGTGAGGAGGGGAAGGGGAAGGAGTTTGCAAGCCACTCTGAGACTCCTTCGGGTAGTGAAGGGCGGGGTATAAATCCAATCTCTTCTCTTCTTCTCTCTTCTGTGTGTCGGCGCAATGTTCCCTCTAAGCTGTGGAGTCTTGTGAGCAAAATTGCTACTTTGTGAGCTGCTGGCATTAAAGTTGTGAGCGAATGATTTGGAACACTGGCGGTGACTAGCTGTTGACTTTCCTGAGTCACAGCAGATTGAGTGAGTTAGTTTTGTCATGCTCAAAACCATATGTCCAATGATACTTTTTTGTTTATGTTTGCACGGTACAGTGATAGAAAGGTCCCGTTGATTCCAGGAGAAGTCCATGGAGGTCTTTTGACATTCCTGCCCATGTGCACTTCATCCCAAGTTTGCTAGGCAACAGTCCTCATGTTCCACAGCCATATTGCACATACATGCACTGGAGTTTCTGAGATCTTCCTGTACTCCTTCAGTGCAAATGCTGACCGGCTCTTCAGCCCTTCTCCCTCTAACAAGTAGCAAGGTAACGGAGAGAGCCTCATCCATACTACAGAGGACCAGTGTTCCCTCTAAACTGAGTTAGTGTGAGCTAGCTCACAGTTTTTTAGCCTCCGGCTCACACATTTTTGTCTTAGCTCAGGCAGGATGGCTCCAGAGCAAACTAATTTATGCAGCAGCCACATTGCTTGCTCACAACTTTAATGCCAGTAGCTCACAAGGTAGAATTTTTGCTCACAAGACTCCACAGCTTAGAGGGAGCATTGCAGAGGACCCGGGGTGGAAGAATGTTGAAGACAAGGCGCTTCAGAGTCCGGTGTGCTTTTTCCAGTGCATCCCTGTTGCCCTCATGGGCTCAGGGTCATACATGGTAATCCAAGGGCTCATGGTAATACAGAAGGTATTTTTCATGCTGGTCGGCCATGATAGACTTGGAGTCTTGGAATACAATAGAATTTTAAAATAAAATTTAAAAATGATAGACTTGGAGGCCTCCAAGATCACAGGACTCCTTGGAGACCATCAGGGCGCGCTGCGTTTAGAGGCTTCAAGGAAATGTAGATAGTCCCATTTTGCATCCTAGAAATTTCATCCACATTTCAAAATGGGGCAAAATCTCCTGCCCAAGTCAGGTGTGCAGCCCCCGTCTTTCAAGATTTCAGGAAAAAAGCCCCAACCTTTACTATAGGAATGCCTAAAGATGAGAACTGGAAATACTTTTTGGCAATGTTTGTTACCTTTTTAAAAATGCAAATATTGTCAAAAGTATTTCCATGTCCATTTCTCATTTAGGAGCTGCGGTGGCTCAAGTGGTTAAGACGCTGAACTGCAGGCTGTGGAAGGTCAGTAGTTCAGCAGTTCGAGACCCGGGTGCCGCAAGACGGAGCGAGCTCCCATCTCTAGTTCCAGCTCCTGCCAGCCTAGCAGTTCGAAAGCAAGAAATTGCAAGTAGATAAATAGGTACCACTTTGGTGGGAAGGGAACAGCGTTCCGTGCGCCTCGGTGTTTAGTCATGCCGGCCACATGACCACGGAAACTTCTTCGGACAGCGCTGGCTCTTTGGCTTGGAGACGGAGATGAGCACCGCAACCCTAGAGTCGGGTTCAACTGGCTTTCGAGCAAGGGAACCTTTACCTTTACCTTTTCCTCATTTACCTTTTTTTAAATGAAAACTTATGGTTAGCTTAGTTTCTAGCACTGAGGCTAGCTTAGTTTGCTAGCTTGAGTGGGTAACATTTGAGAGTATCTTAATTATACTGGTTGAAACAGTGCATGCACTTATGCCACTGTGGCAGTGTTCTCCTCATATCAGTACTAAAAAAGGTAATGTTACATTATTGTTGTTGTTGCTATTTGAATGTATATTCTGCTTCATTAAAAATGTTTAAAAATTAGGAAACATTTTATCTTTTCAGAGGAGGAAGTAGAATACTTTGAGATTAACGTGTGCTTCAGCAGGCGAAGGAGTTCATAGCACAAAACGTAATTATTGCTGAATATCCAGTGACTATTAAAATGATTGATCAAGGTGGGGCAGCCGTGTTGGTGTGAAGCAGTAGAACAGAGTTTTTGAGTCCAGTGGCCCCTTTAAGACCAACAAAGTTTTATTCAAGGTGTGAGCTTTCGTGTGCAGGCGCACTTCCATTTCATCGTCTGACCAAAGCTCACACCTTGAATAAAACTTTGTTGGTCTTAAAGGGGCCACTGGACTCTTAACTTTGTTCTATTGAAATGATTGTGTCTGTGGCTCTTTGGAACAAAGTAGAACTAGAACAGAAGAGCATCTATTTAAGAGTTACTCTTAATGGCTGTACATCGATATAAATGCGTGGAAATTTTTTTTTGTCTCTCTTCAGGTACTATGAAGCATTTCCACCTCTTTCCAAGAAACCAGTTTGCCTGCAAGAAATTATGACTGTGTGGAATAAATCCAAAATTTGTTCTTACTCCAGCTCCTCCTCCTCTTCTACCGCCCCGCCAACTAGCACGGATACATCGTCGTCTCCCAAGGACTACATTAGTGAAAGTGAAGTATCTAAGGAGAGAAACAGCAACCGAGGACCTGCTGATGCACATGAGAGAGCCTCACAGAAAAAGGATAAAGATGAAAAAGAGAACAAGTTTGGAAGCAGCACTGTCGAAGAGAAACCCACTTTGTACAAGAAACAAATCCGACACAAATCCGAGGGAAAGATACGTCCTCGATCGTGGTCTTCTGGCTCTAGCGAAGGAGGTTCCAACTCTAGCGGTAATCAAGCCGAATTAAAAGCTACCACCAAATGTGTTAAAGTGAGGCATAGAACAAGGGAGGTTCGGAGCAGGAGGTTCCAACTCTAGCGGTAATCAAGCTACCACCAAATGTGTTAAAGTGAAACATAAAACAAGGGAGGTTCGGAGTAAAAAAGGACGAAATGGGCAGAGCAGGCACTTGGTAAGAGCCGGCGAGAAAGCGGAAAGAAAATTCCACGGTGGCAGCAGCAGCAGCAGCAGCAGCAACGGATCTATCAAACAGCTGTGCAAAAGGGGGAAAAGGCCATTCAAAGAAACTGGAAGGAAAGATGCTGGGAACTATGAGGGAAGAGAGCTATATTTTGATAGCAGAAACGAAAAGGAATATAAAGAAGAGCCCTTGTGGTATACTGAGCCAATCGCCGAATATTTTCTTCCCCAGAGTAGGAAAAGCAAGCTTGAGACAACGTACCGCGGCAGGCAAGATGCATGTGAGATAACATCCGGGGCTGTAGAAGAACTAGCTGAATCAGTGCAAGGCCTTTGCCTTGGCAACAATAATATTAATAAAACATACCTCGCGGCAGGTACTTTCATCGATGGCCATTTTGTGGAAATGCCTGCAATTCTCAATGAGGACATTGGCCTCACTAGGACCTCAATGTGTTCTCAACCAGAGGACGACGCACACTCAGATGGTGTTCATCTGTCAGAACTAACACACTTCTATGAAGTGGATATTGACCAATCCATGTTGGATTCTGGTGCCTCAGGCAAGATGCAAGGAGAGAGTCGGATTTTGAATATGATTCGGCAGAAGAGTAAAGAGGGGGCTAATTTTGAGGCAGAATGTTGCATAGTGTTTGATGGGATGGAGTTGCAAGGGGAAAGTGCAATATGGGCGGACTCAGCCACCTCTGTTGGTGCTGAAGGGTGGTTCTTGCAAGATCTTAGTAATTTAGCTCAATTTTGGGAGTGCTGTTCATCTTCTAGCTCTGGCGATGCAGACGGGGAGAGCTTTGGAGGAGACTCTCCTGTTAGGCTTTCCCCTCCCTTAGACAGCACAATGCTTAATTCACACATGCTTGCAGGCAATCAAGAGCTGTTTTCAGATACTAATGAAGGGTCTGGTTTAAATTCTTTTTCAGTGTTTGAAGTGCAATGCAGTAATTCTGTCTTACCATTTCCTTTTGAAAAACTCAGTTTGGGAAATGAAAATACAGATTCTAGTAGCAATGTTGGTATGTTTGGGAAAACACAGTCTAGATTGTTAATATGGACCAAAAATAGTGCCTTTGATGAAAATGAACACTGTTCTAATCTGTCAACAAGAACTTGTAGTCCATGGTCATACTCTGAAGAAACACGTTCAGACAATGAGACTTTAAGTATTCCATTTGAAGAATCCCCTCAGTTTAATTCGGATGATGTTAATTATGTAGTTCCTAGAGTGTCTTCAAGTTATGTAGATGAAGAAGTTATAAATTTTTTGCAAGAGGAAACCTGCCAGGAACAGGCTAGACCTTTAGGAGAAATGCCCACCTTAATTTTTACAAAAAAATCTAAACTAGAATCTATTTGTGGAATACCGCTAGAACAGAAATGTGAAGGCAAAGAATATGAACCTACACAAGTGTGTAGTGACAGCAGTCCGCATGAAGATGACTATGGCTCAGGGGTTATTAAAGACATTTGGACAAATATGACAGGCAGGAGTTCTGCAGCAATTGTGGAAATAGATGGCATAGAAGAGGAATTATTTTCAGCCGATGTAAACAATTATTGCTGCTGCTTAAATAATGAAGCAAAGGAAGAAGTTCTTCAGGATCTGAATAAAGCTGTACAGAGATCAGAATATCATCTCTGGGAAGGTCAGAAAGAGAATTTAGAGAAAAGAGCTTTTGCTTCAAACCGTGCATCGAAAGTGGATTGTGGCGATTATACTACACCCTCCAAACCCTGGGATGTTAACCCAGATAAAGAGAGTTCATTTATTCTTGGCGGAGTCTATGGGGAGTTGAAAACGTTCAACAGTGACGATGAATGGGCAGTGGTGCCGCCCAGTCACCCAAAAGGCAACTTATTGCAGTGTGCAGCATCTGATGTAGTTACAATAGCTGGTACAGATGTGTTTATGACGCCAGGCAACAGCTTTGCCCCTGGCCACAGACAGTTATGGAGACCACTACTCTCATTTGAACAGAGCGAGCCATTGAAGTGTGGCGATCATGGATTAAATAGGGGCTTTTCGTTTATCTTCCATGAAGACTTGTTAGAAGCTTGTGGTAATTTTCAAGGTGAAGAGTCTGGTGTTGAATACTCCTTCTCTTCCTTTGACTTGAATAATCCATTTTCACAAGTCCTTCATGTAGAATGTACATTTGAACCAGAAGGAATTGCATCGTTCAGCCCTTGCTTTAAACCCAAATCTATCCTTTGCTCCGACTCTGATAGAGAAGTTTTTCATCCTAGAATATGTGGTGCTGGGAGGACACAGTACAGAGCGATACGGATTTCTCCAAGAACTCACTTCCGCCCAATTTCTGCATCTGAACTTTCCCCATGTGGTGGAAGCGAGTCTGACTTTGAATCGGAGAAAGACGAGGGGAATGTTGCTGCCCCTCCTCAAGCCGAAGTGTTTGACGATCCACAAGCAGATCTCAAACCACTGGAAGAGGATGCAGAAAAGGAAGGGCATTATTACGGCAAGTCAGAGCTTGAGTCTGGGAAGTTCCTTCCTAGGTTAAAAAAGTGTGGGATGGAAAAGAGTGCTCAGACGTCTCTGGATTCCCAAGAAGAGTCATCCGGAATGTTGCTGTCAGAGAACGAGAATTCTTGCTTGGAGTGCAGTATGAACGAGCCACAAGGTGTGAGGGCTCTGGACAGCTCTCAAACGAGTTGCAACGTTGTGGAGCCCCAAGAAGAGGAGAACAAGTCTCGCAGCTGCACAGATGACGCGTACGAAGATAACCTTGTTTCTTCGGCACAGCTGAAAGAGGTACCTTCTTGTATAATAGATATCTAGTTTTTTTTTTAAAAATGTAGCTAAAAGTTGCTAGAAAGACCTTTTTCAGTCATATGAAATGTAGTAGTCTAGCGGTGTCTGAGTGCACCAAGCCCTTCTCCATCCCTCCTTTGTGAGGGCAGGGCCTGGGCAGCAGCCTCCCCCACCCCCCGAGGGGGGGTGGCCCTTGTCTGCGGCCATTTTTTATTTCCCGGCCCGCTCCTGATGTATTAAAGTGGGGAAATGGGGCAAAATTCAGTGGAAAAGCTGGCTGGAGCCAACCCAAGGTACTTAAGGTCACAATCCAGGTTTCACCTGTATATAGACTCTGCAGGCATTTGGTGAAGTACACGAGTGTGAGACAGAAACCCGAGAGGTCTGGGTTTGAACCCCCAGCTTAGGGGTGAAGCTCACTGAACGGCCCAGTCCCTCTCTTAGCCAGGGTTGTTCTGAGGATGAAGTAGAGCTGCAGAATCACGAGCTGAGCTACTCTGGGCTCCCTGGAGGGAGGAGGGGCTAAAATGTATTTAATGTTATTTTAAAAGCAAAACACAATTTGCAGTTTCTCTGAGGTTTTGAGACAAAGAGGCATTGTGGAGTTTGGGTCCTAGCGTTCTTGTCGTATGCTAAGCGTCGTTGAAAATGAATTAGTTGCCTCTTAATTACCTTTTAACTACTGTCTCAGTCGAGCGTCACAGGATTTCTGAGCCCTTCGGGTAGTCAAGCACCGTTTTATTTTTATTTATTTATTCAGTTTATACCCCACCCGCTCTGAAGAAGCGTCGTATGCTAAGCGTCGTTGAAAATGAATTTGTTGCCTCTTAATTACCTTTTAAGTACTGTCTCAGTTGAGTGCCACAGGATTTCTGAGCCCTTCTGGTAGTCAAGCACCATTTTATTTTTATTTATTTATTCAGTTTATACCCCACCCTCTCTTCTGACGCAGGCTCAGGGCGGCTTACATGAAAGGTTAAAAAAGCATAAAATGACAATTATAAAGCAATCATAATTCTGTGTGTGCTTACCTCTCAAGTTGAAAAATTGAACCGGTGCCAATTCTGGTGTAGGTGACAATTCCAAGTGGGGTAAGGTTATTGCTAGAGGTGGCCAAAGGAATTGCCTACTGGCAGTAATGACCAGTTTGTGAAGACTCAGTAGTACTAAATAGCAAGGCTTGGATCCAGCAAAGTGCCCATGGAAGATGCCAAACTATATACACTCCCCCCCCCCTTCTACTGGGCAACCCATGGGACATCTGAAAAGATGGAGGTCACAGGACCCACACTGACACAAAGCCATGTGGCCTGGAAGGTTGAAGTGGCGGTGGGGAGCCGGGTGAAATAGCCCCACCAACCAATGGAGGGCACTGCCGGCAGAAAAGAGCAGTGAGGCAGTTTCACTGAGTACCCCCCTCTTCACTGCAGCCTGCCCCGCAATTATGTGGTTTTGTATCTGCATGGGTCCTGTGATCTCCAGTGTCAGCTTTTGAGAGGACAGGTCTGCGTGTGACCGTAATTTCCTTCTGTCATTAAATCCAGGGGTCATTTCCTGCAGGAGCGCACAGGAGCGGAGCTCCAGCAGTAAAGAGCCCAGGGGGTGGGCACATGCAACCAGCCCCGCCCCCTACTCCTTCTCTCCCTCTTTCTTTCCCTCTTTCCTTCTATTTCTTTCCTTCTTTTTTCCTTCTTTCTGTCTCTCTCTCTTTCTTTCCCTCCTTTCCTTCTCTTTCTCTCTTTCTCCACAGATCTATGTGAGGGCAGATCTGTGCGTTCCCCCTCTCCCCCAGCTAACAATCCAAAAAAGTCCAGTGGCAACTTTAAGACCAAGTTTTATTCAGGTACAAGCTCTCCCTCTTCTGCAAGGACAGATCTGCCCCCCCCCCAATAGCTAGCAATCCAAAACAGTCCAGTGGAGCCTGAGCAGTGGGTGTTGCCTTCTGACACACTTCCAGTGATGTCAGGGGGTGTGGCATATGCAAATAAGTTATTCTAATGAGTGATGCTAATGAGCTCCTGCCCCTCTTTTTCTACAAAATGATCCCTGATTAAATCTAAAGACAAAATGCTATGCAGGTGGCTGGATTAAAGTTAATATTCTCTGCACAAAAGGAGATGAGCATTTAAAGGCCAATGACTGAGACATCAGGTCCCCTTGGATGATTCAGGTAGAGGTGTGGTGACAAATTTTGTAATATGCTTTGAATGATGTCGCTGGCTTTCCAGATTTAGAAAAGGAACATAGAAGTGGTGAGTTTGCAATTTTAAAAAATCCCCTCTGGCAAAAGACCTGGTGTAGACTATTAGTTTGATGCTGCCTCTTGCTTTGTTAGAGCCCGCTTTGCCACCATAATCACAGCCAGTGTTCCCTCTAAGATGAGTTAGTGTGTGCCAGCTCACAGGTTTTTAGCCTCCCGCTCACACATTTTTGTCTTAGCTCAGGAAGGAGGGCTCCAGCGCAAGCTAATTTATGCAGTAGCCAAATTGCTTGCTCACAACTTTAATGCCAGTGGCTGACAAAGTAGAATTCTTGCTCACAAGACTCCACAGCTTAGAGGGAACATTGATCACAGCACCTTTAATGGCACTGGCCACCCCCACGTACACACAGAATCTGGATTTGTGGCAGGACTGCAGTTCCTCGGTCAGTCCAAGCATCTGCTCCAGCACTCGCTGCTGTGGAAGGCTTTCTGTTGATGAGTGCTTGAGAAGTGTGCCAGTTTCTTACGTGTAATTTCCGCCAGTGGTGTTTCCTTTCTTTCATAGGGTAGGCCTGGAGCTGTACTAGAAGCAGGACTTGAAATAACACTTTTTTTTTTCTCCGTCGAGTCACAGCAAGAGACATTCAGAGGTGGTTTTGCCATTGCCTGCCTCTGCGTTGTGACCCTGGTATTCCTTGGCGGTCTCCCATCCAAATACAAACCAGGGTCGACCCTCGTTAGTTTCTGAGAACTGGGCTATCCAGGTCAGGGCGGAAATTTCGAAATGCCTGTTGCACACGCACACGCACACACACCCTGCTGCACTTCTCCCAGCCTGATGTCACATGTCTCATAGGTCTCGTGTCAGTCAGAGACTGTCTCTTACCCCATTTTTTGCCAGTCTAAACAAATGCAGTTCAGCCAGTCCACTCTCAAGCCGTTGCCTTGTGATTGGTGGGGAAGAGCGCAATGTGTTAAAAGGGCAGAAGTTAAACATCTGCCCAGTATTATACGCCTAACTTCTCAACTCTTAGGGAGTGATGCGGTTTTGCTTAAAGCGTTCTGAACATAACCTTGCAAGGGAGAAAAAACAAGTGTCACCAATGAATGCGTGGCATGGAAAAGCACGAGGGTTTTCTAAGGAGGGCCTGGCCTCCGTCTCATGGGACATGCGTGTGCGCATAACCTCCGCTTCTCTTTTTGGACAAGCACTGCCCAAGCCCCCAGTGCCATCCACACGGACTTTAACACTGAGCTTAAAAGGAGATAGATTTACCCATCTTGATCTATCTGTAGCAGAAGAAAAGAGTCCAGTAGCGCCTTAAAGACTTAACAAAATTTGTGGTAGGGTAGGAGCTTTCATGAGACTCACGAAGGCTCATATCCTACTACAGAGTTTTTTAAGCTTAAAAGGAGAAAGAGACACAACATGAAGCTATGGAGCCATGTGCAATATAAAAGTCTGTGAAGGAGGAAAACCATAGCCAGGAATATGTTGCATATTGAACATCTCAATAAAAATTTACTCAGTTTTATTAGAATGATTAGTATACAGACTCAATAAAGGATAAGGTTGAGCCATCGCAGCTTATTTTCACGTACAGATGAATCTTAAGCCACAACTGTATTGCGTTGCATTGTGGTGAGATGGGCCATTTGCTTTAAACTGAAATACAGTTATTCTCCAAACAGTTTCCTGGATTGAATAACGATCTTCAGAAAATAAGCTACAATCAAGCAAAGCAGTGCTGGTGGGAGAAAGCTCTCTATACCCCACTCTTCCCTACGCCACAGTCTGAAGGTAGCAGCATCTTTTTTAGCTGAAATGTAGACTAATCGGTGTCCATGAACTAGAAGGAAATAATTTAGGAAGCCAGTCCTCTTGCCCAAGGGGTGGAAAGAAATTTGCCATCTTCTGCTTGCCGTGACCTCCATTCTGGTGCAACAGTGTGTGGTAAACTTCTGATCTCCTGACAGAATGTTTGTTCCAAATCCTGACACGCACCACACAGAAGGCAGTAGATGCCTTCCCTGCATAAGTAATGCCGGGAAGGGGTTGGTGAGCGCAGTCACGGGCCTGTCACAAACCCCGGGAGAGGGTGCTGGCATAGCCGTGTGGACTTTTTGTTTCTACTGGCAGTCTTGTTTTTTCCGCTTTGCCAAGGGCAAAGGAGTGTGACTATATTAATTAATTAACAAATTACTATGTATTTATTAAAATATTAATACCCCACCTTTCCTCTGGGCTCAAGGCAGTTTGATATGTTGGCCTAGCTGCCGCAGGCTCGGCAGGACTGTCGGATTGGCCTGCCTGATCTATAAAACGAAGGAAGTAGTGAAAATAAGGACATGGGGGGGAATTGACAAGAAGCTGCATTTTCAACCCATGCTTTTATTCAGTTCTTCCTTGTACTGGCTTCCACTGGCAGTTCTTCTCTGCTTTTTTGACATTTAAATCATTCTAATCACAGCTCCTTATTTAGCACCTAACAAAGAATTTTATCAGTACATTTAATTAAAGAGCAGCTGTTTGTAATAGAATTCCATTTTCTCTCCCCCATCCCCCAATGAACCTCTCAAATAAAACTTTTAAAGAATGCTGTACAAGTGTCGAGAAGGAGAGTGGTATTGGAGCATGTACAGATATAAAAGAAATGCCGCACACTGAAGAACATCTTTTAGATATTAATATGGTAAGATTTTTTTTTAGTCACTATGGCATTGATTTCAACTAGATATGAAACGGTCTGGACCATATACATGTCTATTTTTTTTTTGTCGTAAGACCATTTCGTTCATAGAGATTATTGGTCAGAATGGGATGTGTCCGCCGGAAACGAATGTGATTTTTGCAAAATAAAATCATGCCTTTTTACGATTTCTTGAAAGGTTTTTTTTTTTTAAAGATTGCAAAGAAATCAGGGGAAAGCTTTTAACAAAAGTGTAGCTGGTACATTAATGTGAAAGGCCAGGATCCAAAGAAACACTTGATTGACAGGAAAGTGCTTTTTGTTATGGGGGTGGGGGAGTTGTTGATTTCCCTTCTCAACTAGAAGTCCATTACTTTGAGTCCCCTTTTGGATTTGGGAAGTCTCAAGGGCTGCAGTGGGGAAAGTCATGTCCAGGTGTTCTTTTGGTCCAGGCCGAGATGTGAATATAAAAATGTATGTACGTAGTGGGGTTACTTTACACTTGGGAGAAATGTTCCTCTTGACCATTCTTCTCCTTTTTGTAAATCCATAATGTTCTGCATTTAACAACTTTAAAAAAAACATGAATCCATAGGTATCGTCTGTTCACGAAGCAAGATGTGCAAACCCTAGAAGCTGCGAAACAAAGTCAAATGGCTTTAGGAAGAAGCTCTACTCCAGTGATAGCTCCAGCTCTGAAGGCTCAGCATCAGAAGGGGGAAATGGATGGGCGGATCCTTGTGAAGAGGAGCTTTTTTCTCGAACTCACCTGTAAAGCTGCAAAGGAAAAGCCGGTGGTTAAGATTAGCCTGAGATGGAAAACTCTCTTCCTGAGAATCTGTAACTTGAAACTAAATTGAGTTTCCCCTTCAGTTAATGGATTCAGAAGTGTATTTATCTTTCTCTTCTTGGTATTTTTATTTTCAGTAGTTGGGAGCACTGTCCCACTGGAAGGCTTTTCTTTTCTCCCTCCAAACTCTTAGCTTCTTGGCTATTTGGACCTAGAGTAGATTGTTTTGTCGAATCAAGAATGGATGTGCATGTGATTTGTCTTGGTAGTATCACTGCTCTTTTGCATTCTAGCTGCAGTTACTTTTATTTTTAACTGTAGCCCTATCAGTATTACTATCTTACTAGCATTGCAGTGTCTACAACTATCCAGAGATTTTAATCTTTTAGCACATTAGGCTTTGTTCTTTAAGATTTGGGAGATAAATACTTAACACTGTAATCTATCAGTGCCTTTCTGAATGTGGGAGGAAAGTGTGTGTGCTGTGTCCAGTCTTTAAGATCTCATAACTTTGGAGTAGGAATACTAGGGCTGTGCTTTAGAGACTTTCAGAAACTGTGTTTCCTATGCTATATGATCTCTCTTCTTGACCCAGACGAACACAGTTGAAACTCTTGTTTGTTTCCTTCTTGCTAACTGAGGAAGTCAAGGAATTTTGTAGGCAAGGGGGAAAAACACAATTTTCTCTCCCCTTCCCCCCCCCTCTTGTTTGTCTTTACCTTTCAGGGCTTGGTGTTGTAAAGTAAATAATTAAAAGCAAGTGACACTTAACTGACAGATCCCTGGCACACTTCTTCATAGGAAGCCCTTTAGATTCAGTGGAACTTACCTGTAGCTAAGTGTGCCTCGGATTGTGTCCTTCAACTCCCCAGGGGGAAATGAATGGGCGGTGGTTCGTGTCACAAGCTAGAGATTTGGCCTGGACGACTGAAGCCATCTCAGAGTCACTGTTCAGCCTTTTCTACGCAGGGGGGTCAGAGGGTCATTCAAAGGAAATCCGGTGCCTCCTGCAGTTAGCTATTCTTGTGGCTCTGATTTAGCAAAACTGGTAGCTAAACTTCGTCTCCTGAGAGAATGTTAGGAGTAAGTTGTGTGTCGTAAGTGGGAGTGGGGGACATGTGTGATTGCAGTAGTGATTGTTGCTTTATGTGACCTGCTCTTAAAAGTTTATTTTAACATAGTCAATGCATCTGTCAAGTAGTAACTGTGCAAGACTATCAACTCCCTGTGCTACTAACGTATTATGCAAATCATATGAGCCAGGAGGAGCAATATTGGTTTTTACCATTTCATAGTTTTAAAAAAAAAAGATCTATACAATAGTAGCATGTTTAAGACATCAGAAAAGTGCAGAAAGTTTACTATTGACTTGAAAATGCTAAGCCATTAATTTTGAGAGGCAAGAAACTCCTAACAATTATATAGTTGTTTGAAACGGTGAGCTAAACTGGCTTTGAAATTATAATATTCTGTGCTAGTGAGCTAAACTAAATTTGAGTTTTGTTGCCTTTTCTTAATTGGTAATACATGATTAAGATCTCGGGTATCAACACCGTCTAAGGTTGCATGTATTCTTTCTGTTGAAATTCGACTCCATTGGCTTGGTTTGTACTTTACAGGGAAATGTTATTAATAACTGCTTTTAAGCTACATTTATTTTAGCATTCATTCAATGAATCTTTACGGCGTTTTTTTCCCCTTGAGATTCTGGATAAGTTTTTATATATTTACTTTCTTCTGGAGCTTCCTTAAAAAATGTTGTATAGCACATGCACTGAGAATATTGTCTGTTGACATGAGAGCAAAAAGAATGAAACTGAGAAAATTCTAATGATTAACTTAACTAGAGTGTCATTATTAGAATAAAGGAAGACCAAATGGGAATATTTGGGAGGGAAAACCCACACCTTTTTAACTCAGCTTATTTAAGATAGAGATCTCAGTGAAAGGGTGATGTTGATATTGGTCACCTTATGATTTAATATTTTAACACCTTTGGAAATTTACATGTTACATGTGTGGGCAATAACAAATAATATTTATTTGTTTTCATAATTGAATGGAAAAGATTTGAAGCTTTCCAAGTGAGAAGGTTGACGTGTGAGTTTGTGTTTTTTTCCCCCCCGCAAGGATAATTTAAAAGTGGAGATGCTGAAATGCACTGTGGTATGAAGCGCATATCCATAGCACTGAAGTATCAGTTTTTCATTCCTGGGCTGAATTTGTTTCTACTTTTTTGCTTCAAGTGCTTGTATTGTTCTGATTTCACATACACCAGAGTAACTGAATTTGTTTTTTGTGGAGTTACTTAACACCAAATAAAAGATAAAAGGACAGTTGCATTCTTTTGTTTTGTCTGTGTTCTTATAATCAGCCTACAAAACTTCCCATTTAAGATTATGATACTGCCAGTGAGTGGCAAACTATCCAAAGGCTTCCCCCTCCTTCCCTTTGTTGTTGAATTCCTCACAGTAATGCTGGCACTGTCAGGGAGCAGGAGGGTCGAGAGGAAACAGGGCACCGTGCTGCAGATAAGGGGAATGTGCCCTCAGAAGGGACCTCTTTTTCGGCTGGTGAACGGGTATCCTTTCACACCAAGGAACCATCCCTGGGCAGGGAGGGAGGGGGGCTCTTGGTAGTTGGAGATTTGATCCTTAGGCAGGCAGGCAGCTGGGTGGCAAACCCGTGTACTGACCATATGGGGACTTGCCTGCCTGGTGCGAAGGTAGCAGACATTGCGCGTGTTCTAGATAGGCTGGTAGATAGTGCTGGGGTCGTGGTACATATTCGCACCAATGATGTGGGGAAATGCAGTTGTGAGGTCCTGGAGGAAAACTTTAGACTGCCAGGCAGGAAACTCAAGGCCAGGACCTCCAAGGTAGCCTTCTCAGAACTGCTACCTGTTCCATACACAGGGCCGTAGAGACAGGCACAGGAGTCTCAATGCGTGGATGAGACAATGGTGTAGGGAGGAAGGGTTCAAGTTTGTTAGGCACTGGGATACTTTTCTGTAACAAGAGGAAGCTGTACAAAAGAGACGGTCTTCTTCACTTGTCCTGAGAAGGAACCAGGCTGCTGGCGCTTAAAATCAAAAAGGTGGCAGAGCAGTTTTTAAACTGAATATTGGGGGAAAGCCGACAGGCGATGAAAAGTCTCTGGTTTGGGATGGCTCATCTGAAAGAGATGAAGAGGTAGCTGATACTTTTCTACAAGGAAATGGATTAGAATTGTCCACTGAGACTGTGGCTAACGATATGGACTGCCTGGCAAGGTCTCGAGGCAGCAGGAGGAAGGCTGTGGGCTTAACATGCATGGGAAATGATAGATGTTTATACACAAATGCTAGAAGTTTCCAAGGTAAAATCGGGGAATTGGAATGTTTGATGTTAGGGGGAAAAATAGACATTGTGGATGTTTCAGAAACTTGGTGGGATGAGGAAAATCAGTGGGATACGGTGATTTTTAGTTACAAATTATACCAGAAGGGTTGGAGGTGGGGTGGTTCTGTATGTCAGAGAGGGTATACAATCCAGTAAGATTGAGAGGGTAAAAGAATTGGATTTGCTTCTGGAAATGCTATGGGTTGAAATAGTGGGCCCAAAAGGAAGCTTAACACTTGGAGTTATCACACAGCCACCAGATCAAAAGATAGAAGACGAATATAAAATGATAAATGAATTAAAGATAGTGGCTAGACAAAATAACTGTGTTGTAATAGGTGATTTTAACTACCCACACATTGATTGGGTCAATATGTATTCAAGTCGGGAAAAAGAGATTGAGTTTCTAGATACTCTCATTGACTGTGCTATGGAACAGATGGTCACAGAACCTACCAGGGGACAGGTGAACCTGGATTTGGTCCTAGAGTAACGCCCAAGACCTGGCGAGAGATGTAAAAGTGATTGCATCACTTGGGAACAGTGACCATAATGTTATTGAGTTCAACATTTGTATAAATAGGGAGTTGCCCAAAAAGACTGAGACCACCACTTTTAACTTTAAAAGGGGTAACATGTGAGGAGGAAACTGAAAGGAAAAGTAGAAAGGGTCAAAACCATTGGGGAAGCTTGGAGACTATTTAAAACTACAGTCCTAGAAGCTCAGAAAAAATATATACCACAGGTTAGGAAAGGCACAAATAGGTATAGAAAAAAGCCTGCATGGATAACAAAGTTAACTTTTCTGATATCAGGGGACATGTGAGGAAGAAACTGAAAGGAAACGTAGAAAGGGTCAAAACCATTGGGGAAGCTTGGAGACTATTTAAAACTACAGTCCTAGAAGCTCAGAAAAAATATATACCACAGGTTAGGAAAGGCACAAATAGGTATAGAAAAAAGCCTGCATGGATAACA